GTGTCCCCCCGCGGTGTCCCCTCCCGGTGTCCCCTCCCGGTGTCCCCTCCCGCCATCACCTCACTGCCACCGCCCCCCGCAGGGATGGCCCCGCCGCCCCCGAGGGCTCCGGCTCCACTCACAGCTCCCCCGAGAGCCGCCGGCACCACGACAGGTCCCCACCGGGACACGGGGGGCCCGGGGACGGGAGGGGCGGCACCGCGGTGGGAAGACACGGGGGCTTGAGGGCACTGGGATGGTGTTGGCAAGGGGATGGGGTGGCACCGGGATGCGTGGCACCAGGACGGGGTGAGATGGGGACAGGGTGATAACAGGGTGACACGGGGGCTGGAGGGCACTGGGATGGGGCAGCACAAGAACAGGGTGACACTGGGACATGGTGGCACTGGGGATGGCACGGCACTGGGATGGGGTGACATAGGGACACGGGGATTGGCAGTGCACCCCTTGGAGGACACTGGGATGGGTAGTGCAAGGACAAGGGGCACTGGGATGGGGTGACATCAAGGTGACATGAGCACTGAAGGGCGCTGAGATGGTGCAGCTCAAGGACAGGGTGGCACTGGGATTGGGTGGTACCAGGGTGACACGGGCACTGGGATGGGGCAGCTCAAGGATGGGGTGACATCAGGGTGACACAGGGACAGGGTGACACAGGGACTGGAGAACACTGGGAGGGGACAGCACAAAAGACATTGAGACATGGTGGCACTGGGGATGGCACAGCGCTGGGATGGGGTGACATAGGGACACAGGGATTGGCAGTGCACCCCTTGGAGGACACTGGGATGGGCAGTGCAAGGACAAGGGGCACTGGGATGGGGTGACACTGGGATGACACGGGCGCTGGAGGGCACTGAGATGGCACACCACAAGGACACGGTGGCAATGGGATGGGGTGGCACTGGGATGGAGTGGTACCAGGGTGACACAGGGACTGGAGGGTACTGGGATGGTGCTGCACAGGAATGCAGTGGGCCAGGGTGACCTTGGGGTAAGGTGACACTGGGATGAGGTGGCACAGAGACAGGATGACATGGGGACTGGGGGGCACTGGGATGGGGCACGTGGGATGGGATGGCACTGGGACAAGGTGGTACAGGATGGCACAGGAACCATGGGGACAGGACACCAGGGGGATGGGGTGTCACAGGGACAGGGTCACCCAGGAGCCGAGTGGCACAGGGCCTGTAGGGCACAGGGACAAGGTGGCAGGGGGCTGTGGGATTCGGGTGGCACTTGGGTGTCTTGGGCACAGGGTGGCACAGAGGTGGGGTGGCACAGGGACACATGGCATGGGGACAGGTCGGTGTGATGACAAGGGATATGGGGGCAGGATTGCATGGGACTGGGACATCCCAGGGGTGGGATGGTGTGGGGACAGAGTGGCACAGGGATGGGACATCCCAGGGGTGGGATGGCACAGGAATGCAGTGTCCTGGGATGGGGTGGCTTGGGGACAGGGTGGCATGGGGAGGGGACACCCCAGGGACAGGGTGGCATGGGAATGCAGTGTCCCAGGATGGGGTGGCAGGGGACGGGGTGTCCTGGGGCCAGCGCCGCATCGCGGCGGGCCATGGCAGTGGCCACGGGGCGCGGTGCCAGCCTGTGGTGGCCTTGGGGACTGTCCCTGGCCGCGGGGACCGTCCCTGGCAGGGCCGAGAAGCCGGAGCCGCCGGATTTCTCCCGCTCCTCCTCCAGCGCCAGCAGCTTCGGCAGCGCCGCCGAGGAGCCCGAGCCGGGCCGGGTACGGGGTGCCCAGGGGGCAGGGTGGGTGCTGGGGGGGCCGAGGGGGGACAGCACCCCCGTGACCCCCCCTGCCCCCTTAGGAGAGCCGCTCACCCTCGGGGACCCACCGCAACGCCTTCCCCGACACCCCCTGGCCGGATGATCCCCCCGGGACCCCCACAGGTACCCCCCAGGAGCCCCTGAGCCCCCGGAACCCCCCAGTAGCCCCTCACCGGGGCGTCAGGGCCCCACGGGCTGGGGGTCCCCCCGGGGTGCTCATGGCCCCCCCCCCTTTCCCCCAGGCCGCCGCCCCCCCGACTCCCCCTGCCCTGAGATCAAAATCCAGCTGGAGCAGCCCCCCCATAATCCGGTGAGGCTGTGCCCCCCCACCAGTGCACCCCAGTACGGGGGTGCCCGCACTGGGGTGCCCCCACTGATGTCCCTCCCACAGGGCTCATAGTCACCCCCCCACCCGCGGGGGGGTCACCGCTTCACCCCCCCACTCCCCCCGTGTGCCACCCCCATGCCAGGAGCTGAAGCCATCGTCCCCGGTGCAGGATTTGGGGGGACCCCCCCAAAAATGGGAGTGTCCTCCCCTCCAGACAATCTCTGTCACCCCAAATACCCCTCGGGGGAGGGGGGGTGATGCACCACAAAGGGCCCCCCCTCTGCCGTGACCCCAAAATGAGGAGCGGGTCCAACCCCAGCATCACCCCCTCCCTACAAAAGAAATGGGGGGCTCAAATCCAGGGTAACCCCAAAGTGGGGCTCCCCCTCCCCACCTTTATTTTAAGGGAAAAAAGCTCCGGAATGGGTCGGAGGCTGGAACTGGGGGGAGGGGAGGATTATTTTTTCACACCTCCCCAACTCGTGTTTGTGTTTCCCGCGAGTCAGGTATAAAATAAAGGTTTATTTATCGCTACAGCGGGTGGGCCCCAATATCTGGGTTGAGGGGGGGTGTCCCCAAAACCCCAAACATCAGCGGGGGCTATAAAAACACCCCCAAATTCACCCATTCTGGGGGGTCATTTAAGCCAAATTTTGAGGTTTCCCAGCAGCCAGGCCAAGCAAAGCCTTTCTTTGATGCTCCCTATTTTTGGGAGGGGGCTGCGGGTACCCCAAAATACGGCAGGCAATGGCTTCACCCCCCCCAAACCAGCCTCTGCTTGGCTCCCGTGGTCAGCCCGGCGTCGGGAGCGGCGTTTGGCCGCGGCCCCGGTGGCCGCCGGCGTCCTGCCAACCCCCCGGCCAAGAGAACGTGGTTCCACCCCCCCCCGAACCCCCAAAAACCACGCGGCACCCCGGGAGTGGTTAAACATAGCCCGGGGCTGCCGGAGTTCTGGGAAGCGCCGGCGGTGGGGCTGTGGTTGGGATCCGGCGACGCCGGCAATGCCGGGGGGGGCAAAGGGTGCCGGGCAAGGGGGGGTGTCAGAGCCCCCCCAAACCGAGGAGGTCACCGGCTACACCCCCCACGAAGGGCCCTGGTTAATGAGGAACCGTGTTTTTAATTATGAAATCGGTGAATGAATAAAAAACCGGGTGGGGTTTACTTAGGGGAGGGCTGGAGGGTCCGAGAGGGGTTCGGGGATGCTCGGGGAGGGTGTTGGCAGTGCCTGGCTCAGCTGGGGCACGCCAGGGCTGCTCGTGGGGGGAACTGGCACGGGAACGTGGTGTTGGCTCAGCCAGGGCAGGGCTTGCATGAGCACAGGGACCTCCCGTGGGTCCCGTGGGGGGTCACACGGGCACGGGGACATCTGCACGGGCAAGGAGTGATTTGCACGAGCACAGCGACGTTTCCACGTGCCAGGCACTGCACACACGTGGTGGCATTTCACACGTGCCCGGTGACACCTCTGTGGGCACCGGGGCGTGTCACACGGGCACCGGGACTCTCGGCACGGGCACGGGGACATCTGCACGGGCAAAACACTTCATGCACAGCCACAGTGACCTTTGTGCGTGCACAGGGGGATCTCAGACTTGCACAGTGACATTGGTGTGTGCAAGGAGCCATTGGCACAAGCCCAGTGACATGTCCACGTACAAGATCCCTCAAGCCAGCGCACGGTGACCTTCACACGTTGCCCTGTGGCATTTTGCACGTGCACGGGGACGCCTTTTGCACGTGCAAGGAACCCTTTGCACAAGCACAGCGCCATTGGCACGAGCCTGGCAAGTTCTGCACCTTCCCCGTGGCACTTTTGCACGTGCACAGTGACTTTTGCACAATCCCAGAACCATGTGCACAAGCATGTGCAGAGTGGCTTTTGCACGTGTACCGTGGCATTTTGCGTGGTACCTGTGCATGCAAGGATCCATTTCTATTGCACAGGAACCCTTTGCACGCACACAGTGACATTTCCACGTGCAAGGTCCTTCAAGCCAGCGCACGGTGACCTTCACACGTTGCACTGTGGCATTTTGTATGTGCACGGGGACACCTTTTGCACGTGCAAAGAACCCTTTGCACAAGCACAGCGCCGTTGGCACGAGCGTGGAAAGTTCTGCATCTTCCCCATGGCACTTTTGCACGTGCACAGTGACTTTTGCACAATCCCAGAACCACTTGCACGAGCCCAGTGACATTTCCACGTGCCAGGCACTGCACACACGGGCAGAGTGGCTTTTGCACGTGTACCGTGGCATTTTGTGTGGTACCTGCGCATGCAAGGAATCATTTCCAGTGCACAGGAACCCTTTGCACGAGCACAGTGACATTTCCACGTGCAGGGCACTGCAAGCCAGTGCACGGTGACCTTCGCACGGTGACCTTCACACGTTGCACTGTGGCATTTTGCACGTGCACAGGGACACCTTTTGCACGTGCAGGGAACCCTTTGCACAAGCACAGCGCCGTTGGCACGAGCATGGCGAGTTCTGCTCCTCCACCATGGCCCTTTGCACGCACAGAGCAACTTTTGCACGGGCACGGTGGCATTGGCACGTTCAAGGAATCCGCTGTACGTGCACGGTGGTGTTTGCCTCTGCACAAGAACCCTTTGCACAAGAACAGTGACATTTCCATGTGCCAGGCACTGCAAGCCAGCGCACGGTGACTTTCACTGGTGCCCAGTGGCATTTTTTACGTGCACAGGGACATCTGCACGTCCAAGGAGCCCTTTGCACAGGCAGTGACAGTGACACATACACAGTGACTTCCACACTTGTGTGGTGGCACTTGCACAAGCACAGCGGCATCTGCACATGCACAGTGCTGCACATACGTGCACGGGGACTTTGGCATGTGCACGGTGACATCTGCACGAGCACAGTGACATTTGCTCGTGCAAGGCACCATCTGCACATGGACAGCGGCTTTTGCACGTGCAGGGAACCCTTTGCACAAGCACAGTGACAGTGACACACACACAGTGACAGTGACACACACACACAGTGACTTCTGCACGTGTGTGGTGGCACTTGCACAGGCACAGTGACATCTGCACGTGCCAGGCACTGTGCCCAGTGGCATTTCACAAGTGCCCAGTGGCATTTGCACACCCCAGGCACCTCTTGCTCAGCTCTGGCAGCGCTGGCACGTGCACAGTGCCATTTGCACAGTGGCATCTGCACGAGCACTGTGACACTGCAGTGACGTTCGCACACTCCCAGCACCATTTGCACCCCCGGTGCCCCTCTCCCAGCTCAACCCTCGCCCCCCCAGCACCCTGTGAGCTGCACAAGACCCCTCCCCTCCTGACCCCACCTCCTAATTGCCCCCTAATTACCTCGACCCAATGAAGGGGGCGTGTCCCAGCGCGTCCCACCCGCTTTGCTCCCCTTGCCTTCCCCCCTCCCAGCCTCCCCAAGATCCCTCCCAGGGCAGCAAATTGCCTCAACCCAAAGGATTTTTAAAGCAAAATAAATCACCGAGGACACAACGAAACCCAAGTTTAGGGACAAATTAACCTGTTGAGTTAATTTTTTTTCCCCATCTTGGCGTGGTTTCTGGCTCCCCACACATGTGACGAGCTGGGCAGCGGGGTCAGTCCTCAGCCAAGGGACATTTGGGAGGCATTTTGGGACCCAGCCCCATCGCGTTCCGCTCAAAGAGGGGGTTTTATCCACCGAGGCTCCGGCTGCCATCCCAAATCCCACAGTGGGTTTGGGACAGGGCAGGGAACGCTGCTAATTATAGGGAAGGAACCGTGTATTTACAGAGGCAGCTCCCAGCACCAAACCGCCGGCGGCTGCTTTTGCTCCGCTGAGTCTCTCTGTTCTCCTTCTCTCCTCTTTCCCGGGCGCTGCTCTCCACAAAAAAAAAAACATAAAAAGGGGGGATGAATTAAAAATAAATCCCCCCCAGGCGATCCGCAAGAGGCACTTTAGCAGAGGAGGACGAGGAGGGCGAGGAAGGGCAGGAGCAGGGGGGCGGCGGGGCGGGTGCCGGCGTTGCAGTGGCCGCGGTTGGAGCCGATGCAGGCGGCGTAGGCCATGGCGTGGGGGATGTAGTTCTGCTCGTGGACCCCGTGCAGCAGGTGGGCCATGGGGCCCTGGGCGAACACGGCCACGTCCTCGCCGCCGTGGGTCTCCTGCCGCAGCGGCACGGCCGACTGCGCCTGGTAGTCGGCGTGTGCTGGGGGAAAAGTTGGAATAATTAAACCAAAAATTAGAACGATTTAAAAAAAAAACAATATAGGCAAGTCGAGACAATTTTAAGGGGTTTTGGCCCAAAGCAGACTCACCAAAATCCACGGCAGAGACGTTTTCTCGCTCGCCCGCCACGATTTTGTAGCCGGGGCCGTTGCCGTAGAGGATGGAGGTGAAGGGCTTGCGGTCCACATCGCTCTGCATGGGGGCCAGACCTGGCGGTGGGGGCACAGTCAGCGGGGTGGGACGTCCCCACGGTGCCCCCGAGGCGTCCCCCAGGTGCCCCCGGTCCCCACTCACCGAAGATGGGGTTCCCGCGGGGGGTGTAGCCGCCGAAGGTGAAGACGTGCGAGTGGTCGGCGGTGACGACGCTCAGGGTGTCCTGTGCCGACGTGAGGCGCGTGGCCAGGCCGATGGCCCGGTCCAGCTCCACGGCCTCGTGCAGCGCCTGCTTCGCCTTCCCCTCGTGGTGCCCGTGGTCGATGCGGCCGCCTGAGGGACCCGGCACCGCTCGGCATCACCCCCGGAGTGTCCAGCCCCCGGCTCGCTCCTCCTCCCAGCCTTGCACCCCCCCTTACACCCGCTCCTGCATCCCCCCAATGCGTGTTTATCGCCCTGTGCACCCCCATCACCCCCTTTATCCCCCCCTTTTTACATTCCACATCCTCCCCTTTTGCACCCCCATTCCCAGTTCCCCTCCTTTTTTCATTCCTCCATCATCCCCGTTATCCCCTTACTTTGCATCCCACATCACCCCCATATCCCCCCTTCTACATTTTCCCATATCCCCTTTATCCCACCTCCCTGCATCCCCCATCACCCCTTTATCCTCCATCCCTGTTCTCCCTCTTTGTTGCACCTCCATCTCCCCATTATCCCCACTTTTGGTACCCCCATCACCTCCTTTGCCATCCTGTTGCCCATTCTATTCCTCACTTTTTACACCTCCTCTTTACTCAATCCTCCTATTTTTGCACCTCCCCTTTTGCACCCTATCACCCCCTTTATTCCCCCTCTTTGTACCTCTGCCAGCCCATTTACCCATCCCCCTCTTTTCCATATCCCCTTTAATCCCCCCTTTTTGCACCCCCATCACCCCCTTATCCTCCTTTCGCACCCCTTTTTGCCCAATCCTTCCCTATTTGCACCCCCCTTAACCCCCTTTTACCCCCCATTTTTTCACCCCCCATCACTCCCTTTTATCCCCCTTTTTGCACCCCCATCCCCCCCCACCTTCAACCAGGAGGAAGAAGCCGCGGGGGTTTTTCTGGAGCATCCTGATGGCCACAGCCACCATCTCACTGAGGGAAGGATCCGTCTCGTTGTTCCTGT